TGTATATGCACGTAGTTACAGAAATATTGGGGGGAAATGCCATTAAATGAGGACACCTTGAATTGAGGGCTTTTCTACCTTAGCCACTTAGTGTCCTCAGGTGCCTATAGCACCTCATTGTCTTCCAAATTTTTTGTTTCAGCTTTTTCATTTTAGTATAAACCCCGTGCCAATTTCACCAGAGCCAAGTGATGTGAAGCAGTTAGCCCCACTTATAAAGGAACTGTATCTACATTTTCCTAAGTGGCACAAGTGGTCTGCAATTGACTGCTAACCTAAAGACTGGTCAGGTGAACACACCCAGTGGCACTGTGAACGGCCTGGCAATCCGTGTCTGTAAAGACCACAGGAAAGAAATCCCTCTGAAGCAGTCCTCTGTAAGGTGGGCTGCAATGAGCTACACTTGATTCAATGGCAGTAGGTTTTTATATATAAATAAAATGTAGATGGATACTCCATACTATCCATCTTTTCTCACATTCTCTGAACAATCTATAATAAAGTTTAAAAGCCAACACATTTGAAAATATGTTTTTTATACTGAATACATTATTTGAATAAAAACAAAATTCTCCCAGGGCTGTCCCTGCCCCTGGGACTCAAGTTGTTATTATAAACCAGTTTAATGTGCCTATGTATATATGACACGGAAGTAGTGAGTGGTTTACAAAATAACCACCACCAACATATCTAAGAATACCATTGCCGTCCACCAAAGCTGTCAGAAAACAGTAAGGTATTCCCTGTGTCTGCATTTCCTAGGAGATTAAGGCTTACTGAAAATATTTGTTTTCAGGAACAGCTTCCTATGTGGCTTGAAAACAATGTTCTCTGGTTCTCAAAATTATTATTCACAAAGTATTTTTAAATCATTGTACTAGTACATAATTTCTGGGGTGTGTGTCATGACAGGATTTTTCTTTTGAATGCTTCTCTGTAGCTGCTTCTGGTGAGTCCTGGTGGTATAATAGGTTATGCGCTGAGCTGCTAACTGTAGGTCAGCAGCTCAAAATCACCAGCTGCTCGGAGGGAGGAAAACGATGAGGCTTTCTAGTCCTGTAAAGATTTCCAGTCTCAGAAACCCAGTGTTTTTCTGTTATGCGATCACTATGAGTCTGATTCCACTCCATAGAAGTTTGGTTTTTGAATACTGATCTTGTGCTGACTGATCCTAACATGCTTGTTTGGTGGTCCCTAAACAAAACTGTGAAGGTCGTTAATGTTTATTTTCCTTAATAAAGAACTTCCTTCTCTGACTGTTGTTATATGCCCCCAAACAGATTAAAGACCACTAAAATGCCACAAATCCAATTTGGAGTCTTTATTAAGCCAGTGGCCATGGGTAGACTAGTTAGTGTCACTTAAAACTACTACTGAGGCCCCAATAGTAGTTAAGCAGGGTATATATAGGTATAAACCGTATCCTGTTTTTCAAGCTGCAAGGTACAGGACTCCAGCCGAATCCTGATTTCTGAGCTTCCGAGCTTCGGAGTACAGACAAACCACTCCAATTAGCCAAGCTAAAAGTATTAGTCTACATAACATCCTGAAATGGGGTGGGCGTACATACATAGTATCTGAGAATAAAATTTACAATAACATCCTAGAACAGGGTGGTGGTGGAGAGTTTCTGAAGGCTACAAATTTAGATTTGGAAAATCACCAGGTTAGCTTGACATAGCAAACTGCCAACAGGGCAGTGGGCTATAGGGGACATGGCCTTAAAGCAAGATGGCTTTACCCACACTTCTCTGGGGAAGAAAGGGGGATGGAGGAGGTGGGGTAGGCCAGAATATTGGATGTAAGTTAGAACACTGTTCCTTACAATTTATCACTCACATTCTTATGCCTTTTCTCCAGCATTTAGCAACTAATTTTGAATAAAATATTGACACACCAAAGTATCGGTGTCATAATAATGCATGTGATTTCATAAGTAATAACACAACAAGATATCAACATCCTTTTTTTCTCTAGTAACCAATTATTCCAACATGGTATATATATATATCTTCCATACTCAAACTTTCAGGAAAGGCACATATGTCAACATAACCATCGCTTGCCAGAGGGGCTCTAATTTGTTCTCACAAATAACGTTGCATTGTGCTCACTTACATAGAATTGTTGTCCCTTAAAATTTGTGCTGCAAAGATTAATCATACATAGATATAACTTTATCGCTAACAGCAACCTCATTATTACCACCTATTCAACATTTTCGTCTTGATAGAAAATCAAGTTGATAACGGATTTTTGGTTGCCTAGTCACAAAATGCTCCCTCAAGAGACGTGAAAAATACCCCTATGGTGAGAGCATTATAGAACTTCCTTGCAAGACGTTGAACTGCCTTACATGACGTTGAGCAACATTACAAAAAGCAACACAGGAAACTCGATTTTTAAAAAGAAATAAAAGTGACACTCAGGCCTGACCCAAAGTTGATCCACTCCCAGGGGGGGGCTCTAGAAACTGAGACACTCTAAAGGGGGTCCTAGAAACTGCCAACAGACGGACCCAAAGAACCACCCCAGAAAATCTGTAGGACCCTGATGAGGACGCCAAGGAGCCGGCCAAACTGCCTATTTAAACCTGGGTAGAGACACTGACTTTTCAGAGAGCTAGGAACCAAGGAGACATCAAGTGCTGCTCTCTGCAGCTCTACCCAGGTTGAGTACACCGTTGAAAGCAATGCTTGTTGGGACTGTGCTGCTGGAATAATGATGTGTGTTGAGTGCTGCCCTGATACTCTTATACTTAGTAATTTGAGTTAATTTTAAAATCATTAGATTGTTTTATGTGTGTTTGCAGTGAATAAACCGAGCATTCGAAAATGTCAAAGAACGTTAAGTAATCGCGGCACTCATGACGTAAAGGCTAGGCGACCCTTGGGAGTGACTCAACGGTCAGGCCTGAGTGTCACTTTTTTTTTTTTGCCCCTCCCTTTCTCCGAGTGTCACTTTTATTTCTTCTTAAAAATGGAGTTTCTTGGGTTGCTTTTTGTAATGTTGCTCAGCGTCTTGCGAGGGAGTCCTATATGCTCTCATGACCCTGAAACGGGGCTTGTTTCTGTGACATTCTTACTCCACTGAGAACGCGCCAGGCCCCGAGCTGCGCGCGCAGCCCGACCGTTGCTCTGAAGTCTCGCGATACGCGGGGCCCAACCGCTGACGCCACGTCGCACGCCACGTCAGGCGCCTCCGGCTGCGCGAGACCCTGCTGCGGAGTCTTGATTTCAAGTAAGGTCTTTCCCGTCGTTTCATTTTCGTGGCAAGAAACCTTCAAATCCCTGCTTTTTTTCGGTTTCGAGCTTTTATTTACGTTTTTGAGAGAAACATTCACAGCCCACGCGTTTCTTCCAGTGACTTTTGATCGGTAGGTCTGGTTTCGTTTTTGATTCTACCTGCGTGTGCCTGGCGGCGCGGCCGGCGACACGGCCGGCCTACTACTCCAGGGTGAGTCGTTCAGGCCCACCGGCTGCCCGCAGGGGAAAGGGGGCGCTTTTCGCTCCTGTGGAGATGGACGGCCGCACAAACCACGGGGCAGTTCTGCTCCACCCTGGTGGGTCGTCTGGGCCGGCACCGGCTCGGAGTTTGGTTTGGGTTTGAGCCGCTTGTGTTCCTCGTTTGGTCATTGTCTCCTACCGAGAGCCTGCAAGCGCGTGTCTTGTTCAGCACAGTTCACTCGGAATTCTAAGTTCCCCGCGGGTGTTGAAGCTTTTAATCGTTGTAATTTTCCCCCCTTTTTGTTTCTTCAGCTCCTGTACGCTTCTGTTCAGCATCTTCGTGAACAGTAGATTTTAAGCTGTCCCGAAGCTGAAGGCTTTCAACAATTATCTCAATTTCCCTCTGGAGGTCTACGTTCTAAGACAGCTTTAAAGTGCTCTGTCTTCTTGCACCTGAGACGAAGGAATTTTAGTACCTCCTCCAGTGACTGTCTCTCCTTGACGGGGTGTCGTCATCACTCCGCCATTTTAGGGAATCCACTTTCAGTTCCTTATCGAGAAGGCCTGCTATATTCCCCGTTCTCTGCCATCTTGTGAGTGCGGTTGCCCTTCGTTCTCACTATGTCTTCCCATAAGACTTTCAGGATCAAGAGATTCCTTGCCAGAAAACTGAAGCAGAATCGTCCCATTCCCCAGTGGATTCGGATGAAAACCGGTAATAAGATCAGATACAACTCCAAGAGAAGACATTGGAGAAGAACCAAGCTGGGTCTGTAAGGAGGCATCATTTACGTAAGTACACACCAGCTTTCTCACGCCTTTTAAAAACTTGCCACCACTCATCAGTTGAACGTGTATTGGTAAACACCTGTTTTCTTCTTTGGTTTTTAGGCTTCTGAATTAAGAAGTTGACAGATAATAAAAATGTGAGACCTTTGGTTTGGGGCAAAACAACAACAAAAAAGTCTACTTATTTTCTCCAATAAAGGTGGAACTCTTTATCTACTAGAACTGTTATGAGCGACTTCATTCACAAAATATCCGAGATGAAAGAGAATCGCCAGAGTTCACGCCACAGAATTTCCAATAGATTTGAAGGATTAGGCACAATGCTAAGGGCAAGAGAAGGCCAATTGGGTAATTCTACTAATTGTTTATAGTTCACTTTTTTATTTAAAATAGCATTGCCATTTACATTTATAATCTCTGAAAATAAAGGTCTAATCTGTCTTTGAGAAATTGTCTTTGTGATGTTATACCATAAAATTGGCACATGCACTTGTAGGATTAAAATTAGATACCACGAGGTGGGTAGATATATAGAAACAGTAATTGTTGGTGTATATGGCTGTTTAGGGGTTTGGCTGGGGAGGGTGGAAGTTGGAGGGAAATAATACGGGAGGAGGAAGGATGCCCTGGAACTGATGGCGGTTGATGTAGACACAACTTTTTAAATACAACAACTATGGGAGTGACACACCTCAATAAAATTATTGGAAAAATTAGATATCAAGGGGCTTTAAAAAATTCATGGAAAAATGGAATGAAAAGATATTAGAAAAATTTCACCCACATTTTTAAGGCCCCTGGTAGTTTTAAAGGAAATATAATAGGGGCAGGAGGAAAGCCCTGATGTTTTTAATGTACTCTTTAGTTTTAGTTCACAAAAAACTTGTAAAACTAGAACAGAAAGATAAACCTCACTTTCTCAATTTGTGAAATCAGCATTACAGTCCAATTGCAATTCGGACTAAGTTACTGTTAAGTAATATCTGTTAAAAAATATTTTTTCTTGGTTGAAAACTTCATGGTTATGTACTTAGTAACAAATGCCTGTGCATATGATTTCAAGACTAGTAGGTCTTTTTTTTTTTTTTTTGCCAGTGACTGGCAGCGCTCCAGTAAAACTTTTATTTACTAAAAGAGGGCACAATCCTATATGGCCTTTTTAGGAAAGCAGAGTTTAAAATTAAACTTGCTCTTATTATTTTCTCCTAATAGAGCATGGTAGTATTTTTTGTATTATTGAAACTTACCGCAACTGAAACATTTTAAGACTTTAATTTAATTTAGGTAAATGTTTACGCGGCAAATTGGTTTTCTATTCAATTCATACACTTTGTTTTGAAACATTGATTGCAATCCTCACAATATGTCAGTACTTTTCCCATTTCTCTGAACCCTGTGTCTACCATATTCCTCTGTCCTTCCAAGATAGGATCCCTAGTTATGTATGCATTGGGCTATTAACCAGAAGGTTAGCAGTTCAAAACCACCAGCTATTCTGGAGAAAGGTGGGGTTTTTTACTTCCGTAAAAGAGTTACAGTCTTGGAAACTCAGGGGTACTTCCAGTCTTCCTGTAGGGTAGCTGAGTCAGAATGGACTAGATGGCAGTGAGTTTGGTTTCCTTTGTGTTAATATCCTTCCTTCCTCTCCCTATGGGCTTTCTGAGCTTTACTCTTGGACACCTGCTGTCCTTAGATTTCCATGGTTGGTTGTATCCTTCCTTCCTCTCCCTATGGGCTTTCTGAGCTTTACTCTTGGACAACTGCTGTCCTTAGATTTCCATGGTTGGTTGATCTAATGTGTAAATACCTCAAGTATTACTTACCTTGTAGACCTGCCTATCCTTTCCCTGAAAGTTGAGCACAGAGTATTCAGTTCCAGCTTTCAAGGGTGTATAGGGCTCTTCTCTCAGGAGTTCATCAGTCTACCAGACAATTATGCTTGGACATTTTTATTACCACCCTATTGAGGCCCTCCTATTGTGATCCCTTCAGAGTAGTCACCAGTGGTAGATGAGCACCATCTAGTTCTGCTCTCAAGAGTTGTATAAGCTGAAGTTCATGAAGTCCATGAGCTCTTTGGGCTAATTGTCTTTGATTTTCTTTGTTCTTTGCTATGGATGGGTAGAAATTAATAGTAGTTGTACTTTTTAATATCCCAGTCTCTATACTTATCGAAGTAGGGTGTAGGACATTCTCTTTGTGGACAATGTTATACCAATTGACCTTGGTGTCCCCCAAGACTTTGTTCCTGAGATAACCAGGCATGATGACTAATTCCCTCAAGATGTGGTTATGGCAAAGAAAATTTTATGACTGTCCCCTGTATACTCAGTTATACTCATGGGTATATTTGCAGACAAGTAAATACATATAGAAATACTCTATCAAACATAAGTTGTGGATACAGTCCCATTGCCTTCCTACCCCCGTTCAGGTGGAGTATCTGTATACTCAAAGGGTATAGACAAGTTATTTTTTTCTTGGTCTGTTGGCTAATTACCTTAAAAAGTTATTACATATCAGTATTGTATCCCTTCAGTACATTTTTAGGAAATCTTTATTCTGCTTTAGGGAAGATTTACAGTCAATGGCTTGTCCATGAAGTGGTCCAGACTTCAGTTTCATCCATCCCAATGCATCAGACTCTGCATTTCCACCATGGGTTCTGTGTTTCCATACATCTGAACTTTTGGCCCCTTTCCTGCCTTCTCAACTATTTAAGGCAAGTGCTGATGTTTTGTCTCATCCCTTTTGGTGTTACTGCCCCTCTGCGTGTTACTATTTCATAGACAGTCTTGTTAGACTGAAATGTGCTTTCCGGCAATGGCTCCCATTCTAGGTTAGATGTGTGAGGCCCTTTGCTCAGTGCCATGGAGTCATTGCCAACTCATAGCGACCCTACAGGACAGGATAGCCCAACAAGTAGCACAGCACACCATGAGGGCTCCTTAGGCCCTAGTCTCGGATTTACTCAGTCTCTGTCTAATCAGTAAGTCTGGTCTTTGATATTCTGTTCTACATTTTTTTTCGCCTAGTATATTTTATCAATTAAAAAAATGTTAGCCTCACGGCAGTTGGCAAAGTTTGGATGAAAGGGTGACTACACATAGAAGCCTGAAAATCCAATACACCAAAATCATAGGGGCTGGTGGTGGTGGTGGTACAGTGGAGCATATGTCATCACACTCACCACTATTTGTTTTTGGCCTTTATTCAAACCGAACTTGCTGCCATCAAGTCAATGGAGACACATAGCGATACCCTGTTGGTTTCCAAGACGGTGTAGAAAGCTCACTCCCACGGAGTTGCTGGTGGTTTCGAACTGCTGATCATGTGGATTGCAGCCCGACACATAACCACCACACCACCAGAGCTTCTCAAAAGTATTGTTGGGGTGAGTTCTTATCTACTGGTGACTAAAACTATTATTCCAATTATATGTGATCATAACTAGGGTAGTAGCCATTCGCTAGTATAGTTGTACTGAGTCTCTGTGAGGCACAACGTCAGGAGAATGAGTCCAGAAAACATCTGGCAGTAGATCCTCTAGAAAGTTGCAGTGCTATGCCTCCTGCAAAGCTGTCATCTATCCATTGATGAGACTGAAGGAGTTGGTGGAATGAAGCAATTGTTAAGCTCATTTTTCTACCCTTTTCATTAAGCTAACACTGACTCCAGCATAGGAACTGTAGACTCCAATGTAGGAACTGTAATTAGGTCTTGTAAAATCCATTATGCTCTGAAATAAGACATCAAGAGGTCAGGGCTAGGAACTAGGGCAGTGGAGGCTCAGGAAGATCAGGAGGGAATGGAAACGTGTGGAAAGGAAAGTAGCTGGTTAGAGACAGATGACCAAAAGTATAATACAGATAAAAGCAAAAAGGGAAATGTGTTATTCTGGATACTTTAGAGAAACAAATCCACAGAAATATGTATAAGACTTACATATAAAGGCTAAGTGCACATCAAGAAAAGATGCCAACCCAGTGCTGCCCAAGCCCACAAGTCCAACATTAGCCCATATGTCCGACACAAATTCACAAACTCCGCCATCTCACAAACCATGCACAATGATGCTGACTGCAGGAGGAAAACCGAGTCCGTGAACATGTAAGCATGTCAGCGCTGTAGGGGTTTCCATGGCTGCTGCATCGGGGTAGGTCCATGCGGCTTCTCGGTGATGTCTTACAGGAAGTGAGCCTTGCCAGCTGAAGCAGGGGGCTGAAGCAGGGAACTGGCTAAAGCAGCTGCACCCTGGTCCGACCATCACAAAGCAAGAGACCCGAGAACTAAAAAGGCAAGGCTCACTGAGCCATTTATCTCTCGTCTCTTCAATTAACCCCATGTGTTTATCAGCCAGGGTGGCACAATAAACATCTCAGGAAACAATTCAAAACACTGGATGTTGTTCAGATACCAGAAGTTGAATTAAATTTCTCCCTTAGAGGAGAGGGGGCAACTGGTTTAAAGAAAGATGAATCACTAACACGGAAATGGGTACCTGAGTAGAAGTTGGTATTTTAAAATGGACAGCTTAAGCTACAGAGGTGAACTGAGTCTACAGGAACAAGTGGGTAAGGAAGCCTGCTATCCAGATAGGTATTGGAAGAACATTTCTCATAATGGCGTCTCTGATGTTCTGGCATTTTTGCAGCAGATAGTTTGAGGGAATGTTTTCATAATACTTAACAAATAGATGCAAATTACTGCTGTAATGTAAAAATTCGATGTCCTTTATGCCACCTATATGCAATAGGGTAGAAGTCCTGAAACAGCTCTAAAAGTGCAAGCTCTCCCAACCCCCTTGTGATAAAAATATTATTAAAGAAATGGACAAGTGTCAGATGAGTCAATAGACCCTGAACCAAAGTAGACAGCAGATCATTTATGGTGACTTCTTTGGCAGGCAGCCTGAGAACAGAAGAAGCTGTGTACTAAACCCTGCCCTATCATTAAATAGGGAAAAGGAGGGGGGACATCAGACATGACCTTAAAAAAGACTAGCTGCTGACCAGATTATGAAGGTAAATAAAATCACAGTTTATTTTAACCTCTGTTTTCTACACTAA